TACAGGACTGAATAAGAGATTTACAGAAGTAGCTAGTGGAATAGGAAAAAAGCAAGCACAATAAAGAGAGGCAAAGTTAACAGATCTTAACTATGCAATGGATTGTATATCTAGTTTCCATGAGAAATCAGTAATGAAGAATGATCTGAGAAGATATTGAGTTGAGGGCTCAGCAAACGTAATGCCATTGATTAATTAATTAACATTAAGTATATTGCAATAATTATTAGCATCAAGCAACTAAGTTTTATTTAGGGTAAAATTCAACATCAACGTGCAAGCCCCACGTTGTAACAAAAATCTGATGCAAGATTAGCTGTCATTTCTTTTTTTTTTCCCAGACTAAAAACCATGTGAAGTGGCCTTACAGAGAAGTCCATCATGCCAGACTATCAAAAGCCTTGGATATGTCAAAAACAATAGCCCTAGCCTTGCCACCATCATCTAAAGTACAATAGAATTTTTCAATTAAAACAGTTCACAAGTCAGCTGTAATTAAGAAGATCGAAATCCATATTGAATTTCAGAAAGTAAGTTATTAGACTTACGATGAAAAATTAGCAATTTTTTTATTAAAGACTCAAACACTTTTGTAATAATAAAGATAGGACTGAACATTTTTAGTGGATTCAGAGTGTTATTTAGAGTTTTTGAAAATTGGAAAACAGATGCCATTTTCAAGCAGGTATAAAAACAATATTCAGATAAAGTTTTGTAGAGAGTTCACTTTTTCAAGACTAGGATAGGAATGTTTTCTGGACCACAAGCAGTAAAAAAATTTATGTGGAATTAGCTTATGCAATAGAGTAATTTAGATATTGTCAAAGTAATTTAGATATTGTATATTACATATATTATTATAATACAAAATACAAAATTATTTTATTTAAATTATCAAGGATATTTTTATTATTTTTATATTAATATTAAAAAGTATGTATTTTTTATGAAAAATTAAATCTTTTGTAATAATTATTTGATTAATCTTATAAACAATGATTGTTTAAAGTCTTTGTTGACATACTAAAAAATAAAACAAAACAAAGTTATGTAAATAAATTTAAATATTTAATTATATAAAATCAGCGGCTACTCTAGACCATTTTTAACGATGTCAACAGTATTTGGGCGCAGCATGAATTAAAAATTGAGGACTTTTTTTATTATTACGGCAAATATTGTTTTTATTTAGCAAAAAAATGCCTATATTTGGCAATATTTCTGATAAATTTTTCAGGGGGGAGGGTACCACTGCCCAAATTTTTTTCCTAGAATAAATTTTTTCCCCCTGATAATTCTCTTTGATAATTTGAATTAGATGTGTTTATTTATTAAACAATAGTTACAAGTAAGTTGTTTTTTGTTTAAAAGTGTTTCGCCTAATATTACAAAATCATTAGAAAAAATTGAAGTTTTGAATTTGAATATTTCAAATACTTTAAATTATAAACATAATTTAAAATATTTTTTTCTATGAATTTTAGTTTTTTGAGTTTTATTTTAATTGAATTTTTTTAGAGTTTAAGTTTTTTAAGTTTAATTTTTTTTCTTTTTCTTTTTTGTCAAGGATTTCTTTTTTTAGTTTAGGTTTTTATTAATTTTTTCTCTCTTGTCAAATTTAGTATTTTCAGAACATTTTTGATTTTTTCTTAAAACATCCAAAAAAATGTTGTTGTTGTTGTTGAACGAAATATTATATGCATGGGTACATATGATATTTTTTCCGGATTAATCTGTTTTTTTTTATTAGGATGGCAGGAAAAGTGTGAACATTCAAGAGATGAGTTAGAGGAAAATATTTTTGCAAGTAGTTCTGCCTTATCCTTGAGAAAGGTAATAAGATCAGATTTTTTTATGAGAAATGGAATAGAAAATTTATTAATAATTTATTACTTTTGAACGGAATGGAAAAGAATGGGAAAGAGTTGCTTTTGTTAATGATATTGTTAAAGAGCTGATCTTGTAAATGATTGATCTCAATAAATGATTAATGAGTAATCTCAAGAGAATTGTTCTTGTAAAAAAAAAAAATTATGACAAGAAATAACCACTGCACTGGAATGAGAGAGCCATGAGGTAGAAAAAGACTTGGAACTGGAAAGAAGGAATAAAAGCTTTCATGCCAACCTGAATTGAGGAGATTATAAAGAAGGCTCAATTTTCAGCAGAGTTAAAAGATCTAAATACCATCACAAAAAAAGTCAAAAATAAATCTCTATCTATTTTAGTAGTAAGAAATAGAGTGAATCTAATATAGAAGAAGTATAAAACATAATTTTAATGATATCATAGACAAGTTCAAGACAAGCTAGGAATCAACCCCAACATGTGTCTGTCTTGAACAGACACATGTTGGGTTTACTCGCAAATCTTCACTCTATGATTTGTGCCTTGTCTCTGACCCAAGCTTGTCTTGAACCTCCTTTAGTTGGTTCATGATATCATCAAAGAGTAATAGACATCATTGTTAAGATCAGAAGTTGAAACAATTTAAATTTGTCATACAATGAGAAATTTAGTTTGGTGAAACTTGCAATACAAAAGATTCAATAGATTCAATAAAGTTACATTGAAGACCACGAGTATTTCTAAGGATAAATTGAATGGATTTAAAAAATTTGGTAGTAAGGATGGTTTTTTGACACTTTTATTCATGTTTTAACAACTAAAGAACAGCTCAATCCTAGATAGTGTATTATGCCCCAAGCAATAAGCTATATCATTATTTTGTTTGTTTGTGTAAAAGATCTATTATGTAAGCAAACAAAAAAATCAATTACGTCATTTACTTAAACTCTTATGAATAAAACATGCTTGAATAAATTATCAAGTCTGTAGATTGCGGTGTACATTATGCTGACTTTTTGATCTATAACAAAACAGAGAAGGCGAGCTTTGACTAAAATAAAAAAAATTAGTTTTTCTTTGTATGCATTTATTCTTTTGTTTTAATCAAACAAATTTATTTTAAACTTTTTTTTATCATTCTCTCTAATATGAACATAACATGTCTCAGAAGTTTGGGATCCTTTACAACTGTTGCCTAGTGCCTGGTAATCAAACCAAAGTCATAGCAAAGGACTCCTTATGCATTTTGATAATGCGCGCCAAAAGCTTTAACACTGATACCTTCTATGCATAATATAGCACTGTTCTCTGATGTATTACAATTGTTAATGTAATCTGTCTCTCTGAAAGCTACCACAAGATAGTAGCCTGGTGCATTTAACATCTGCCCTGGATGAGTATTTTTTGTTGAGATACAATCTCTAACCTTTATCCAACTAAGACAGTGCTAATTTTTTAGTCAGAATTAAATTCTCTTAGCTTAACTTCTCCTAGCCTTTGTGTTGGACCCCTAAAAGTATGGAGCATAAGATAAAGAATAAAATATATTTTCCAATATAAATAAAAAATTTTAAGAGTCTTTCATTTATGAAATAATACTAAAGATGGCTTTAAAAGTATTGATTAATAAAAACCTGTATACTATACAGGTGTAGAAAGTTATCCTTGAGTATACCTATGGTTGCCAGATGTCCAGCTTTTACATTGTATAATCTAGTGCCGAAGCTATAAAAATAAAGATTTTTACCGTGTTCATCGTAAAAGTTGGGTAAACACTAAGCATACCTGTTAGATTTTTTTTTGAGCATTCTGAAAATTTTATTATTTTGAAATAAATCTTGAAATAAACTTACATCACTTAATTTTAATTTTATTTGTCAATATTTAACTTTGATTATTAATGAAAAGTTTTTGCTGGTACACGATTTGGAAAATCAATATTTTAAAAACATCTTTTCAATTAGAGATATGCCAGATACCTGTCTATGTCCTGGTTTCCTTGTGATTTTTTTCTGGGTACAAGCGAGGGTTGAAATAGTTCCAACTGAGAGAGCAAATATTTATAAAAATATGCTTTTGTAAATAAAACTTGAATGAATGAGTTCAATACTTTTAAAATTGTTTTTGTGAACGTAATTCAACTTTAAACAAACAAATTCTTATAACTGTTAGTAAAAAAAAGATTTTATTTAAGTTATTTTCATTTTATTGTTGTATTTTACATATTAAGTTAAAAAATGCAACCACAAAAATATAAAAGTTCTTTTGTTTTTAGAATAAATATTTTGCGTAGGTTCAGTTTTACATTTAAGTTTTAAAAAGTTTTCAAATAAAAATATAAAACTAAAAAATCAGCTTTTCTAAAATTATTAAAGCTCAATTGTTGCTTTGTTGTTGCTGTTTTTTTACACTTTTTTTAATATGGTTTTTAAAGAAATTTAAACTGGTTATTTAAACTTATCATGTTTATTTAAGAATAGTTGTCAAAATATTAAAAAAAAAATCTTCAATAACAAACTTTTTCACCCTATGTAATAACGAATTGACATTAAAAAAATTTTTTTTTATTATTTTGCATAAATGCGTTTTTTACTTTGTTTATGTAAGTTAAATGCAACTCAACTTAAAAACATTCATAAATTTTGCTGTTTAAAAAAAATAGATTGTACTTTAAACTGACTTACATGAGTGTGGTGGGCATGAGTGATTGCCGGCCATCTTGTCAAGGCTATATATTTATATATTATTGAGTTGAAAAAATAATTGTTTTTTCAAAATTTTTCAAAGAATTATCAAAGTTAATATAAAACATCAAATATTGTTTAGTTATTTAATTATACCATCCTAAACATGTTTGGTAGCGATGGTTTGTTGCAAAGGCTTGTTTTACTTATATAAACTATTTTAATTTTGTTCCACTTAGCAACAGATTTTTCAATACTATTTTTTAAATGTTTTAAAATCTAAAGCGCTATAATAGATTCTAAAGCAGTATAATAAATGTGTGATAGGCCCATGTCTAAATTATTTTAAGAATATGATTGAATACACTCCGTACTTAATTGAGGCGTGTGCAGTGGTGTGTGAGTGTGATTGCATGCCACTCCTGACCATGTCTGCTCATTTAAATAACTTCTTTTATGTGTTTGTAGGTTTTGGTCCATTTGGTCAACATGCTGTAAATCATAGTTGGCTTGCAGTGAAGGTAATTTTAAAATTTTTTTAGTAATCAGATATCTATAAGCAACTGGTTCTAACCATGTTGCCCTTTTTTAAAGAAGTTTTACTTTTATTTCTTTTATCTTTTTATTGTTGTTGTTTTTTTTGTTTTGTTTTTAAATAATGTTAATGACATATAATATATATATATATATATATATATATATATATATATATATATATATATATATATATATATATATATATATATAATGATATATATATATATATATATATATATATATATATATATATATATATATATATATATATATATATATATACGTATATATATATATATATATATATATATATATATATATATATATATATATATATATATATATATGTTTCTATACTACTACTAGTTTCATAAGATGTAGTTAACCTGTACCCACAAAGCAGTTATACTTCATTTATACTTAAAAAATAAATATCAGATAAATCTGATAATTCTTTCTTAATATATAAAAAACAAAGAAATTTTGTGGTTAACTTTAACCAGAAAATTAGGCGAACATATTTTGGATGCATCAATTTGCACACCACAACTAATACTTCTCTTTAGAGGTTATGTAAACCATTTCTTTCAAATAAGTCCAATGAACCTGTTTGAATGTATTTCAAATAATTCCAATGAACGTCTAACTTTGGTGGAAAATAATGAAGTGACTTTTGAAAACAATTTAATTTCAAATATTTATAATAATTTTTTATGTCTTTTCCTCTATTAAAAATGATGGCGAGATCTCTCAGCATTCGATAATTTTGCAATACTCAGTTAAAATGGCTGTTAAGAGATATATAAACCATCCAAGCATCAAAATTATAAAGAAGAAATTTAAAATGATATCTCCGAGTTTCATATTTTATAAAATTACACCGGATGATATTTCCAAAATTATTGATTCAATGTAAATTAAAAAGATAACTAGCGGCGATATACCAACATAAATGTTAAATATGCTTTCGTAGAGGTCATTGCACTCAGTATGCGCTTTTTGTTTTACTAAAAATATGTCAGGAATGCTAGTATAAAGGCATTATTATTGGGTCCATGTTTATGGATCTTTCAAAAGCGTACGACCTGCTTCCTCATGATTTATTAATAGTTAGTTGGAAGCTTATGGTTTTTCTCATGAGCGTCTTACTATCATATCTAAGCAATCAAACTTTTACTATCATATCTAAGCGATCATAAACAAAGGGTTAAATTTGGTTTATTATTTTCTGAGTGGTTTGGAGTTTTGATAGGGGTGCTTAAAGGATCAATCCTTGGGCCAATATTCTTTAACATATTTATAAATGACCTTTTTCTATTTATTAAAGACTCTCATTTGCAGTTTTGCTGACAATACCCTCTATGTTTATGATAATAACTTAGAGAGTGTTTTTTTTTTTTATTGCAAAGCGAAATACTAAATGCCATTGAGTGGTTTAAATTTAACTATATGATCGTAAATCCCAAAAAATTTCAATTTTTTATAGTTGGTCAAAAATATTCAAACACGGTAAGCAAAGACAAGATTTTCACTTCGGACAAAGTTAAGCATGGAGGTTAAAATTGAAAAAGATTCAAAGTTTGGTGATCACATTTAAGGTCTATGCGGAAAAGCTAGTAGTAAGTGCTTTACCCTTTCTCCAATAAGAAGTTTTCTATCTTTTAAAAAACCCAAGAATCCATCTTCGAAACTTGCGATTTCTAATGATTGAAGTTTTTAAATTCCATAATGTTTTAAACCCAGAATTTATGAAGGGGTTATTTATAAGGAAAACTTTATCATTTCAACTTAGATGTTGCAAAAAATTGGTGCTACCGCCCAAGGCTCTAATTATAAAAATGCAAATAATCTTTTGTATAGAGCCACCTTGGTCTGGAATTCCCTTAATTTCTTTTAATGGATTAAGTTTTCGAAATAGTTGCAAGTTACTTGCACATTAGTTAAGAAACAGTTATATGTATCTTAACGGTTATGAAAGGAAATTTAATTTTGAATTGCTCTAGCAATTTAAATTTGCAACCATGTTATTACATTACAACACTTTCAATTTAAATTTACAACCATGTTATTACATTACAACACTGTCAATTTAAATTCCCAACCATGTTATTACATAAATTAGTTTTTTTGGGCTTTTTAAAGATTTTTTTATTTATTATAATAAGTAATGATGGGTGACATTTTGTGTTACTTTGTCTAAATAATAAATTAGACACAAGAAAAGCTTTTTTCTGCAGGTTAAACTTAAAACGATTATAAAAATATTTGCATATTAGTTAATCAATTTCGAACCAATGTTGAACATGTCAAAATAAACAAGATTGGAAACAAGTAGACAAGGGGATGTAAACTTTCTGGGTAGATGCTTTTCTGCAATCCTCTATGACAAGTATTTCAGAATTTCAGTTACAATAAATAAAACCAAAATTGGTTGCTAAAATAGGTTTTAAGTTTGATTTGAGTTCTAGAAAGGTTTTCACTTGATGATATAGTGAGGTAAGATAAAAAAGTGTTATAAGTTAAATACTATTTCAGCAGATAATTCTTTAATAGTTTTTCTTTGCTTTTTTAACTGGTTTTATAATACTGGTTTTTTAAAGTTTTAAAATATTACTTTCAGTAATATTTTAATGCTGTATATACACTTTGTTTCTTTTCAATCAATATCTTTAATTTTTTTTGATGACTTCTTTTTTCAAAACAATAATCATGGTCTTTAATTTTACCTGTCAACCAAAATTTTCCTTTTAACCCTTATTTCTAATAAAAGACTGTTTTTATTGTGTCGATGTTTTATAAAGTGAGCCTTATTTGTTGATGTTATGTTTTAAATTTGATTTAGATTTGTTGTTGTTATGTTTTAAATTTGATTTAGATTTGAATGTGCAATAATTGTCAAAACTTTTTTAGGTTACAGTTTTTTTTATCTCTGCAATGATTAGTGCAAGTTTTTTTTAATATAGTGTTTTGTATTTTAGGAGGTGGCTGATCACGAATTTGCATTCTGGGAAATTATAGCTAAAGAAATAGCTGTAGATTACAATTTTGTAAATAATAATGTTCCGCAGCTCTGGAATGAAGTTAATCCAGATGTAAGAATATTATGGCTTCTATAATTACTATTACTTGGATGTTATTCATTTGTTTATTTATTATTTGTTACTTGAATCGAGAATTTTGCAACATAATATATATATATATAATTTTTATATATAATATAATTTTGCAACATAAATAAAGAAATTTGACAGAAATGTTGATTCAAACTTCAATATAATAATATCTTGATACAATGAAATATATACAATTATATCTTGACACAATGAAATTCATATAGTTTTTATATTACTTATCAAAATCAAGTTTCAAAGTTGTGGCCCTCAGCGAGTTATTGAAAAGCTTGTTTTGATTATGTTTTTGGCATAATAAAGTTTTGGTATAATTTATTGAGTAATTAGTTTGGTATTTATGGTTTACAGAAAAAAATTATTTTGAAAAATGTTTAATAGCATAACATTCTTCTACTTAAACATAAAAAGAAGTCGAAAGTATTTATTTCATAGCAGTTAAGCTTTAGAAGAGATTTGGCCCTAATGTATTTGTTTGCACTTGATATTAAGTGAAATGCTTGATTTTATTTGTCTGTACATTAGATACAAGCAATTTTTGGTATTAAATTGCTTCAAGCTGGAGTAGATAGTTTATAAGAAAATAAGAATTAACTCAAAAATAAAAAAAATTCAAATAAACTTCTAGCTATCTTATTTGAAGAATAAGTTTGAAAAATCAACATAAATAAACCGATTTAAAGATGCCATTTTTTGTAGAATTTTAATGAAATGCCTCATTAAAAATACATAAAAGTAAACAAAACTAAAAATTTCAAGCATTTCAAAATATTTATTTTTTCCTGCATTAATTTAAAGTTTTCAAGCTAAAATTATTAATGTTTTTTTTTTTTAAACTTATTAATGTTTTTTTTTAAACACAAAAATATCTAAAAAAAAATTTCAAGCTAAAATTATTAATGTTTTTTTTTTAAATTATTGTTTTTTTTTAAAACACAAAAATATCTAAAAAAAATTTTTGATAACTATCTAACCCCAAATGTATTGCAACCATGTTTTTTTAAAACTTTTTATTTACATAAGTTCATCTAATTATATATTTATAATTATTATAATTATTACAATTATTATATAGCTTTTATGTAAAACTATCATTTGCAGGACCCAAACATGTTTAAAAACTTAAAAAAGTTAAAAAATGAATTATTTACATTTCATTATATATGAAAAAACAATGGCAAATGTTTTGCGTCAACTTTCTTTTTAAGAATTCGTTAATTATAACTCATTCTAGTTTATGTTTCATCCAGATTTTTTCCGGATTTTTTACCCAAAGAATTTTTTCGGATTTTTAAAATATGACCTGGATGATCTATGGAGTTATTATTTACAAATTATCTCTAATATAATTTTGTAAAAAGAGTTTACTTGCTTTTTCTAACATTTAGTGTTTGTTCTAACAGTTCTAACATTTTTGTTTGTTTTCTATTAAACCATTTGACTCTCAAGTTCTTGATTAAACATTTAGTGGTTGTAAGTTAACAATGTTGATGTTTGGTTTGTTTTTTGATGTCATTGGTTGATATTAGATGTTGATGGTTGATGTTTATTTTACTAAAAAATAGTTTTTCATCAGAAAAAGAAAAAAATAATAAAGTTGTCTATTTTGGATGATGAGCATATATCATTAATATAAACAATAAGTAGCTTGAAAATTGATATTTGTGGGATCCTGGGTATATAAAATATACTTGGTAATACTTGTTTCTGTTTATAAAGATTTCCACAAAACCATTTTAAGTTGCTTTACTTTGAACATTTTATTTTGTAAGTAATTTATCTTGTTTTCAAACTATTTTTGTAAAAAGAATTTGCTTCTTACAACTCTACAAGCAAACACTATTAAGTTGGAAGTAATTAAGTTGGTAATTGCCAAGCAACCACTATTAAGTTGGTAGTGGCTAGGAAACAAAGAATATTGTTAAAGAACAAAAAAACAATTGACTGAAGACTTGAAAAGTTATTGGTTGAATCCAGAAAACATAAAGATGGGAGAGAGTTCCAGTGCATTGATGTGCAAAGAAAAAAACTAGATGAAAAAAAGCTTTTAGAGCATGAAATGATAGATACAGTAAATGGAAGTGATTTTGCTGAATGGCCAGTCAAGCAAGAATGAATTTTGGATAATTAAATTTGAGATAATTGCTAGTTTGAGCAGCGACCATGATAGTAATTGTAAAAGAAAAAAAGATGCATTATCACAACGATGAGACCGTGTATCAAGCTTGGTAGATAGAGAAGGTCCAGTTACATTTACAATGCATTTTTGAACCTAGAACTAAGTTTGTCTTCTAGCTTCAGTCACTTAATTATTTTATTTATTAATTACAATTATAAATGCTACATATAGCAAATAAAAAATAAATAAAAAAGAGCATTAGCCTTTACCTCACCTCCTCAATCTAAAGCACAGTAGAATCTTTGAGTTAAAGTGCTTAATAAGTCAGCCATAGAAAGTTCGAAATTAGTATTGAAAGTCAGAGTGTAAGGTAATGCGGTAGTGGTGTAGTGGTAGAGCGCTCGCTTCATAAACGAGTGGTTCCGAGTTCGATCCCCACCACGTCCCTGGTAGTACCGCGCTCAACTCGTTTCTCCGCGCAGCGGCCTTGTTCGTCAAGGTTCGTGTTTCTGAGTTATAGAGTTGAGAGAGAGTTATAAAGGTTATAGCCACAAATAAGTAGCCTCCTCGTCTGTAGTGGCCTACAGACGAGGAGGCTACTTATTTGTGGCTATCTCGTCTTCTCGGCTTTGAGGAGGTGAATTAAAATAAAAAAAAAAAGGTATTAGAGAAAAAATGTTAGAAATTTATTGATTAAAAACTCAAAGACCTTGCTAATAATGGAGAGTAGACTGAATGGACGAAGACTGATTGGGCGATAGTTAGAGGGGTCAGAGTGTTCTCCATAGTTTTAAAAATATATATATATATATATATATATATATATATATATATATATATATATATATATATATATATATATATATATATATATATATATACACACACACACACATAGATACACACATGAACTAGAATAAATTTTTTTTTTTTTTTCATAAATTTTTAAAAATTTGTAAGTTGCACTTGACTTTTTTTTTTTAGCTTGTGATTCATGTTGGTATTTCAAGTTATGAAAAAGGAGTTGTTCATTTGGAAACATGTGCCCACTCCTCTGGCTATATTCGTGAAGATATTAATGGCTGCTGCCCAAAAATTGCTGGAAATATAGAATGTTCAGAAGATGGTAAGGCTAAAAAAAAGTTTTTTTGATTTGATAGATTATTAACATATTAAAAACTATTCATATTGAATTATAATAAATTTTTCACTTTTTTTTAATTTATATTTTTTTTATTTGTAATTTTTACCTGTTTGAATGGTTTTTTCTAGGATTTAAAAACAAACAAAATTCAAAATGTTTTCACTTCTTCTTTCATTTGTTTTTACTCCTACCCATGCTCCTCTGCTGTGAGAAATTTTTAATTTAGCTTGTATACAAAACGTAGTATAATAACTTATTTGTATTAATCTTCTTTTTTTTTAAAGTTTTATTTTCATGTTTCAACATGAACATAAAACTTAAAAAAAAGGGTCTAATATGGGCAGTTTTCCATAATGTGATTTGGAAATGTTGTTTTTTTGTGTCATTTAGACAGGTTCCCTTAATGCCATTATGGATGCCTTTTTGGCATTAATTTGTTTGCAGATATAGATTGGTTATTTTTTGTACCAAACTATTATCTTTTTTTATGTTAATTCGCCTCCCAAGGGCTAAGAAGGCAGTTGAAAAATCTACTTAATTTGTGGTTAACAATCCTCTCTCAACTCTGTGACTTGGAAAAAAAAACCTTGACAAACAAGACCGCTGCGCAGAGAAACAAGTTGAATGCGGTATTACCAGGGGCATTGTGAGGATCTTACAGAAAGCTGATATTAATATTGATTTTATAATAAAGAATAGTGTGAATATGATTTTGTGTGTATATGAACTTGATGTCTCCAACATCAAAACTTGTGGAATTACAGTAGGGATGATTTTCTAATTGATGACCATGAAATAGCTTGAGTTTTTAAACTTTCTTTTATTCAAAAAATTCTTAAAACAAATAAAATATGACCTTAAAGTGTATTTTCTTTATCCCTTCATTTATATCCTTGTTTATACCCTGTTTACTATAAAATATACAGCGAAAAAAAAAGTGAAAAGGTCTACTATATATGATGTTCTAATATGTTTTGTAGATATTTTGCTATTAATACAACAAAAAGAAGTTGAAAAGCATTGAAAAACAGAAAGAACAAGCTAAAAGCAATTTTTGACGAACAACAATATGTTAAACTTATGCAGGCTTGAAAGAATGTTTTGACTGAAATATGTTCTAAATAGAAATTTCACATTGGTGAACAAAGTTATACTTTGTTTTTCATCGTTATTCTGTGTTTTTAAAAGTTTAAGTAATATTATTTGGAATTACTACTGCATCATTGCCGCTGGATTGTTGCTTTAGAAGTTAAATAAGATTGTGTTCATTGAAGTTTTTTAACTAATCAAAAGTTTTTCTTTTAATCAGGTGGTGTGATGAACTATTGAATGATTTAAAACAGTTATTTTATTTTCAGTAACTTTTAAGTAATTATGAAAATCTAAAGATTCCTCAAATAAATATCTTACTAATATCTCTTAAATCTTACATATTACTTCAACCTAAATCAACTTAAAACATCAAAACTAAAATGTTATATCATATGTTATTGGAAGTTTGTTAAAAAGTAAAATGAAGAATTTAATATATATTTAAAATGATCTCTTAGTCAAGTTAAGATGTTTTTAACCATTTATTCAAATTTAATAATTTTTATTCAAAACACAATTTATATGAGTTATTATTTTTTGCTTTCAACAAAAATTTCTCCAGACAAAGCCTTGTGAAAGATTGAAAAATCTAATTTATTTTTATTTAAATTTGAATTTAATATACAAAAACCTATTTTTACTGAGTTTATAAAATGTAAACATTAATTTTTTACTACAAAACTAAAATAATGTATTTTATATATAATTCTGTACTTTATACTGTATTTTATATGTAATTAAATAATATCATTTTAAAATGAAATATTTGTTTCTGCTTTTTATATTATTTTTATTTACTTATCATTTTAGTTTGTCTTGAAACCACAATTGACGTTGATTGCATAGTTAACAATTTATCAGATAGTTTTCCAGTTGTGTGCAAGTCTAATAATGCTGGAAGGTAAGTTATTACCATTTTTCAAATAAAAGCAGTTATTAATTATTATGTTAAATATTTGACTGCCATTAACCATCATACTCAATATGTCATACTTTATTTACCATTTTCAATGCACAGGGTGTTTCAAAAAACAATTTTTAAAAAATTGTCTGCTTCCACCTTTTAAATGTGTTCTATATAATAAACCAATAATGGAGTTGTAAAATTTTTCTAGGGGTAGTTCAAGTCCCTTAAACATCAGTCCCTAATATTATCAAAAACGTTTTTCAAAAGTATATCATTTTGGGTCTCAAAAGAAGTGAAATTATATAAAAGTTTCAAAAACAATTATTATTTCATAAAAAGCATTAGGAAAAACAAATTTCGAATTTTTTTTGTTAAATGCATATTTTTATAAATCTATTTAAAAATGTAGTTTTAGGCAGTGAAATTTAACATAAGATTTTTTATAAAATTATAATTATTTTTGAAATTTTTATATTTTTATATATAATTATTAGCAGTAAATGACTTTTGTTAAAGTTCACCTGCAAACCCACAGCTGTCATAGAAGAAAGACCATATTCAAGATCAACTTCCAAAATCAATCAAAAACAATCACAACTTTTCATTAAGACTCAAGTAATTAATTGAGTTCTCAGCTAATAAAGCTAATTAAAGGTAAGATTGTTAAAGATTATTAAAGGAAAACTATTAACTTTTGTACTGCACTTAAAAAGAAATAGTATGATCATTTTAAATACATTAAAAAGAGTGCAGTCTTGGAAGAAGGAGAATCATTAGAAGAAAAAAAAAGGTGATTGAGTGAAAAGATGCTCAAAGAAAACACATAAAAGAAAAGTCAGAGAATTCGCACCTGGTTTAAAGACAAATTGGAGGATTGATATGCAAGCATATGCCTAAGCCAAACATGTGATTATTGAAGTTCTATTCAAAGGATTATAGCTGTCAACACTGAGATCTAAAGATGGTATGAATGGAATCTAAAGATTGAACAAATGAATTTAAATTTAGTCTCAAAAAGAGCCAGAATGTAAAATTCAGCAAGTAAAAAATTACTTTGAAAAATAATAATCTAAGTAAATATTAATAATATTTATAAATATTAATAGTATTTGTAAATATTAATAGTATTTGTAAATATTAATAATATTTGTAAATATTAATAGTATTTGTAAATATTAATAATATTTGTAAATATTAATAGTATTTGTAAATATTAATAATATTTGTAAATATTAATAATATTTGTAAATATTAATAATATTTGTAAATATTAATAATATTTGTAAATATTAATAATACTTGTAAATATTAATATTTGTAAATATTAATAATATTTGTAAATATTAATATTTGTAAATACTAATAATATTTGTAAATATTAATAATATTTGTAAATATTAATAATATTTGGAAAAAATTGAAACAGTTCAATAAATTTTTATGTTTAATTTTAGGTTGTAGAGTCATGAGCTTCTCTAATAATAAATGGCTTCTTATTAAAGAACTTGACTCATAAATGATGAATGGCTTTTTATTAAAGAACTCAACTCATAGATAGTAAATGACTTTTTATTAAAGAACTCAACTAGTGAATGGCACCTTACACAATAAGCCATGCAGTTGCTTCAGTTTTGTCAATCAACCCAATAATGTAACAAAGATCTATTTGTAGCCTTGAATATACGCATTAAAAACACTAACAGGGATGCCATCCATGAATGTAATTCAGAACTGCCTAAAAAGAACATTTTTATTGAGATGCCGGCGGACCTGTACACAGCGCACCCCAAACTCGTTGAAGTTCGTAAACGAACTCGGTAAAGTTCGAAGCGATAATTTTGCCGTTTTATGATTAGCTAATATTAACGAATAAAAATTTAACATTAATGTTTTCAATTCGCGCTTCTTTAGCCCATTTTTTACCGCCTTAAAATAAGTAAGATGACACCTTTAGCTGAGTTCATTGAAAGTATCAAAGAAAAAATATTGGTTGATTTTTTGCAACAAAAAAAGGCTAATGCCACTTCAAAATCTTTGTCTATGTGGTCAAAGAATGGTTGTGCAAAAGCATGAACGTTGTCAAGTAAGTCGTTTTGGTGTCGGATGAAACGAAGGTTAAAGTATGTTTTTGGATCGCAGGGTGATTTAAACGGGTCTAGGCTAGACGAAGCTTTATACAGAGAATATTATGAGTTTTATAATAAAAATGTTTGGGAAAATTTTTCTTAATTCTTAAAACATATTGATAGTTATCCTCTGTAATGTAATGTAAAATAAGTACTGTAATATAATATTTACATCGAAAATGTTTCGTAATATTTAGATTGAACTTGTTTTTTTTTTTATGTACAATACAAAATTTAATTTGCAAAAACTAAAAGAACATAAGCCACAAAAAGATGTGTAAAGAAGATAAGCTACAAGAAGATACCTTTAGAAGATCGATTAAAAGAAGATAAGCCACAAAAAGATATGTAAAGAAGAGAAGCTACAACAAGATACCTTTAGAAGATCGATTGAAAAAAGATAAGCCACAAAAAGATATGTTAAGAAGAGAAGTTAACTTTAGAAGATCTATTTAATCTAATAATTAATGTAGATATATTGATAATTTGTAAAAAATTTAAATTTTTTTGTAAAATGTTAAATTTTTATTAAAATGCATTTACGCAAACTTTTTGTTTTATTATTTTGAACGTTACCATTATGGCGCGCAAATACGTAATATTTTAGCGCCCATTCTGTAAAATACCAAAATGCGAACACCAAGAATTATTGTTCCGAGAACTAACGAACTTCACCGAGTTTAGTGTGCGCCGTTTACAGGTCCGCCGAAATGCCATCTCTTCTCATTATTCAAGAGGGCCAGGCTCCTCTCTCCAGGGCAGAGGATTTTTTAGTCAGCTTTTAGGATTATAAGTCAGAGTTATTTTCTTCTTAGTCTTTGCCTAAAAATGCAAGTCCTATGAAGCAACATGACTTGATCCTGATCTGATTAAAGACTTCAGAAATTCAATTCAGAATTCAACACAACTAATAGATCAGGAAGTTATAATATCAAGTGCGATTCTTTATCTTTAAATTCTTTATCTTTACAAAATTCTTTACACTAAATTTCAAATCTAAGGACAAAACAAAATTTAAAAAATTATTTTATGTAAAATTTAATAAACTATTATAAATAAAACATTTTATATATAAAACCTTTTAGTGGCAATGATCATTTGATAAATATTTTCAGTGTTCCTTTTGGTAAACATCAGTTTGGCCTGACTACTTTTTTCTGATTCACTATTTGTTGTTTAGCTGTCTTGTCTAATAAAGCAGGTGTCTTTTTATCTTATTGGTTTTTTTTTAGAGCATCAATATTTTTTGTATGTAATTTCACAAATATCTGTAAATTGTGTTTAGATAGTAAAGGTTCTTTTTATTGAAGCTAATTAAATCAGTTTTTGTTTAAAGTAAACTTTTGCTTCTGGCCAAATAAAGTTTTTTTTAGCTGAAGATATGGTCCAATATAACATAGTTTAAGGATTGGATTTTTCCGGATATTTTAACAATTTAAGTTGGGTTTTATCTATTTTGCTTTCAATTATGAAAAATAAAATAGTAGCACATTACAAAAACTTAATAACTTTGTTATTAAGTTTTTGTAATGTGCTATTATATATGTATGTTTTATTAATAGTATAAAATTATATACTATTAATAATACTAATTTTTGTTAGTAATTGGTATTGCATATCAGATAAAAAAAAAAATTGTTCATTAATAAACAATAAAAAGGTTAGTGTGCACAAAGAGTTTTTATTTTATTTTCAGATATGACCAGCTTACTTAGCACGTCAGTTAAAGTCATCAACAAGTTCTAGAATCAGTAATTGATGCCGATAATAATGTTTTCCGGAACCATCCAATCCAAACTTTAATGTGTAACAAAGACCGCCTAATTTGAACGAAATTATATAAAGATTGCTAAAAGTATATTTTAAACATGCAAATACCTTAAAGTGGGCTTAAACATATCTATTGTGCAGTTTGTAGCAGTATAAAGTTATAAAAAGGTTGGCAGTTGTTAGCAAGGTCATTGATAGCAAAGCCAAAGCCACATGTTGCGCAGCTAAGGCCAATTGATGTTAGACCAAGGAAACATGTTACAAATTCGATAATTAATGAAATTGGTAAACTTTTTTCCATTATTTGTTATTTAATGCTTTTCCAATATAAAATATATTTTATAAGAACCGGTAAAATACAAATATATTTCATAAGAACTGGTAAATATATATATCATAAGAAGTGGTAAATATATATCATAGAAACTGGTAAAATACAAATAGCCATTTAATAAAAAAAATCTTTTTGCTTTAAAAACTACATAATAAATTTTTATAAAAAATACAAAATAAAACGAAAAAATTTTCTATGAGCGATTTTTAACGATGTGTTTTATGGATTGCGGCAATTTTTTTGATGTTTGAAAAAGCTGACTTTTTTCATGTTTCATGTAACCGTCATTTTAATGGGTTCGAAAAATTTACATATAAAATTTCATACCTTTTGAGTGCTATAATATAATCTGATAAAATTTGAAATCTAATAATAAAAGTAAATTTAGTTTAAAACAGTAATAGTACATAACTCAGTAAGTTGTTTCGCCCTCACATTTAGGGTTAGGGATGCTCAAGTTTTAGAGTTTTTGTTATTCCCAATATAACAAAAATTGCCCTTGAAAATAAACATACCCAAATTTGAAGTTTGCTCCATATCTGAAATTTTATCTTTCTTAAAAATAAAAAAAACTGCTGAAATTAAAGGAAAACTTTAATTTCACAGTTAAAGATTCTTTATTTTAGACTTTTTAATTTTATTTTTACTTTCCATTAAAACACCCTAACCCTAACCCTGGCGTTAGGTTAGGAGGTCAGGGTTAGGGTTAGGGTTAGGTTTTTTAAATTTTTGTTATAAATGAGTTTACAAAATTTTTTTTTTTAAATCCATGACTAAAGTAAACATTTTTTGAAGCTTTAGCATTTTTGAAAAGAGGTTATCATTATATTAATAAAATAAATTGTTGAGTCTTTTTTGCATTAAGATTTTTTGCTTGGGTCACCTTATCTTTTATAAAGCTATCAACTGACTTAATTTTTTAAAACCATCATTTAAATGAAAATAGATTTTTAATTGCAAGAAGTTTATAAAGTACTTTAACTTGAAGATTCTCATAACCGCAAATTTCATGATTTTTCAGACATTTGCGTTTTTTTTGTCTATCTAACAGACGCACTGCGCGACGTTTTATAAACGTCGTACGAACATCTACTGGTGTATGCACAATAATTTCTCATTAGTTATACTATTAAGACACAAATTTATTTAATCTTTAAATTTTCAAAATCGACAAAATCAATGTTCGATTTTGGGAAAATCTTTTTCATTAACAAAGAGTTTTTTCTTAATTCTATTTGTTTTACGATATCTTATAAACTCGATATCCCAATCAAACCGTAAAACAGATTGTTTAATATTTTATTGCGACTAGGTATTAGCTTGAAATTGTCAAAGTTTGGGATTTTAAGGGGTATCAATCTGTTATATGTGCTATTTTACTTCAATATATGTGATTTTTATGTTAATCAACTATTTTAGGTATTTGTGTGAGTTCATTTACTACACGTCATTAAATATGCATCGCGCCCCGACGTTGTTTATTCACATACCCACACTGGACGAAGATGTTACTTTAGAAAAAATTGTTTCTACGCTCATAAATATAGTGCAACTTTGTATGGTGCAGGTGCCATTTGCAAAATGTTTGTAATAGCAGAATTTTTTACATGTTTGTTAAAACAAGTATTTCTTTGTCGATATTAAAAAATCATCTCACGTCTTTTCTAATCATTACCGATTAAGTTTTTGATTAAGTTTAAAATATTTTAAATATGAAAATGTAATGTACAAGTTGGAATTAAGGAGAGGACTAGGGGCATAATCCCTTCTGATAAAGAGAGTATGCTACCTCAATTAATAAAATACAAACAAATTTTAAAAAACGAGAACTTGAAATAACTGTTTTATATTTTCTTAAAATAGTATTATTAAATTTGTTAAAACTGTTCGTGAATTTTTGTATAGTATTTTGAAATATTTTGTATTGTGTTATGATTTGTTTGTTTCTTGTGTTTTATTTATTTCGTAAATGCTTGTAACTGACGGTTCATAAACATAAAATATTGTAATGTGATAGCACGTTAACGATGTGGGTTTTTTGATAGCCAAAAATATTACAAAAGTGAGTATATTACAAAATATCTTTTTAAGCCTTAGTATTACAATGCGGCTAATATAAAAAAAGTTTTATTCAAATTTCAGTAAAATAAAAAAATTTGTTTTCACTAGACTTTACTATTTGTCTAATTTCTTTTTTCAAAAACTAGACAAGAAATTAATAAAAAACAAACTACAAAGTATAAACAAACAAAAATAAAACGTAATTAAAATTCTATTAGAAAATGAAAAAAACATTTTACAAAAAAATAAATACTATTCTTTAAACAAAAGCGTTAAGAAAATTTGGAAATGCAAGGAAAACATGGAGCTCAGTTTTGAGAACGGAGGATTACTATTTTTAAACTTTCTTCTAGCAAAGAGTAACGCAAATTATATGAATCAGGAAAACAAGATGAAGGAACCGAATTCCAAAGAACTGATGTTTGAGGAAAAACTAGACAAATAAGAATTTTTGGAGCACTTAAGAGCATTCAAATTAAAAGGATGAGAATTATTTGAATGACGAGTAACACAAGAATGAATTTTAGTAGATGGCACAAGAGACGCTAGCTCTTTAGAACAGTGCCTTTTATGGTACTTATAGAAAAGAGAAAGAGAAGCAACATTACGACGGTTTGATAATTTATAAAAATGTACCATTACTTCAAATGTCAACAGATCTAAAAACCGACTCTTGCAGAAAGTTAAAATTTACACCTAATGAACTGGCTTAAAACGAATAAGTTGTTACTAAATATTGATAAAACAAAATGAGCACATTTTTATCCAACTTCTATAATAGATATTATTGTAATAGCATAAGAATAATGTTTAAAGCATACGATTTAAATAAACACAATTCAATTTCAGTTTAAAATATGTATCTTTTTCATTCATTGCTTTATAAATTGTGCAAATGTTGCCTAGGGTAATACCAATAAATCTAAATTGTTACCATTTTGTCTTCAGCAGAAGCATGTTGCTCTGCTGATAATTGCTCTGTAATAATTTAGATTTATTGCCAATCAATTTTAAAGATGATTTACTCATGCCAAACCTTTCTTATTTGAAATGATAATTCCTAATATTTATCAGCTGAATATTTTTAATAAACTCTTTTTTGTGTAAAAGTAAAACCAACGCATCCTCTGTTTCTCTCCATAACCTGTATGGCTTTAAAGGTAAGATAAATTTAATTTAAGAAATGATAATTTAATTAGGCAACCTTTTTTTCCAATCAATTTAAAAAAGGCATGTATTTCATATCGAAGAGCATTTGTTTAAAACATAAAAAAAAAAATTTGAAAAATTTTGATTTTTCTATTGAATAAAATTACTTTTCATATAATAAAAATTCAAGCAGAATTATTTTATCTTCTAAGACATTATTTTATTTATTAATTTAATATTTTTAATTTAAAGGGGAATCGCTTACGTTGTTGTCACCTTGCATACTTGGACAAGGGTCTATGTGCGCAGTGAGGGATGATAAAATGTATTGCATTTTGTTTTAGTTTGAGTTGTGTCGCTGCTCTTGCGATCATGTTCCATTATGAGGGCGTCAGCAATGGGACTTTGTTCCGATAGGTTTGCGTCTTGAGGATGTACTGGTTAGTCTTAGCGATGTACCATGAATCCAACAGCGCAAGCTGATGCAGGGAATCGCTTTCGTTGTTGTCGCCTTGCATACTTGGACAAGGGTCTATGTGCACAGTGAGGGGTGATAAATTGCTGCTTACATAATAATGTTCCGTTATGAGGGGGTCAGTAATACGGCTTTGTTCCGATAGGTTTACGTCTTGAGGATGTACTGGTTAATCTTAGCGATGTATCATGAGTCTAACAGCGTGGGCTGATGCGGGGAATCGCTTTCGTTGCTGTCGTCTTGCATACCTGGACAAGGGTCTATGTGCGCAATAAGCGATGATAAAATGTATTGCGTTTTGTTTTAGTTTGAGTTGTGCCGCTGCTCGTGTGATCATGTTCTGTTATAAGAGGGTCAGCAATCGGGCTTTGTTTCGATAGGTTTACGTCTTGAGGATGTACTGGTTAATCTTAGCGATGCACCATAAAAATAACAGCGTAGGCTGATGCGGGGAATCGCTTTCGTTGTTGTCGTCTTTCGTATCTGGACAAGTGTCTGTGTACGCGGTGAGGCAGGGTGTTTGCTTGAATTTACGCCTTTTTTCGTTTGTTGTCAATTGCTAATATCGATTTGACAAATAAATGTTAGTTCAAGCCGTTAAAGACTAATGTAAGTAAATTTAAATTCAAAGCTTGCAGTTTTTTTAACTTAGATTTATATTTATTTACCTAAAAAACTCGCTTAAATATATTTTGTCTTGCATTGGGGATCTGAGACACAAATGGAAACTTTTATTGTATTGTATATCTATGACCCGCGACACTTTTTCCCCTGACTGATTATGTAAGTCAAAATATATTCTTTTAATAATTTAGGACACTTTCGAAAGTTCTCTATATATTTTTTATGTGCTCTACACACAACATTATTAACCAATCACCTTACACTTTCATCCTCCTCCAATCAATTAACACTTTCTCTGACCAATAGCGTTATTATTTACTGAGACTTAGCTTGAGGGATATTTCGGTTAACCGTCAAATACATCATACAACATCTGTGTACAATTTTACAACTTACATGCGCTCTATAAACTACTCGTTGGCATTGCGCAAAATATCCTTCAAGACTTACTCTTATTCAATATCAAATTATGGTGAGCCTTTTATCTTAAATGTTTATTATTTCTTTTATCTTAAATGTTTATTATGTGTCTTTGTTTGCCTTAAATTTGTATTTGAGTACTTAGGAATAATTTAACTTTTTAAAGTTTTTTGTATTCTAATGTTACTTCTTGCGCAACGTGTTTTAATAATTTTTTAAAAAGTATATCAGCTTACTTTGTTTAAAATGAATCAAGTTAGGGTATTTGGCTGAGCAGTAGTATGTCCTCTCAAATGTTGCAACATAAGAAGGCTTTGACGCAGACGTAGAGGTGGGTTTTATTTGCTTGTTTTGAGAATGTTACCCCGACGGGAGTTTTTAGAAATGAGCATTAAAACATTCGAAATGCCAAATATCAGAGTATTGAATCTTTATAAGGATCAATACTATGTCCACTTCCTAACGAGAATCTGGTATTATACTATATAATTTTTAATTTTATTTTAACGCTGATGTATTTTTATTTTCTTTCTTAAAACAATTATGCGCGCGTTTCTCCTTTATATTAGATGTTTATCATCTCCACTAAGCTGTATGAAATATAGTTAAACCTGTATTAAGTTAAACAAAACTGGAATTAAGTAAAAACAATAAATTTTTCTAATATAATCAATCACTTCCTTTATCTAAGCCATTTACGGCCAAATATGTTCCACTAGTGGCTATACTCACTTGTTCTAGTTGCGAACCTGATATATAAAGAGAACATAATACGATCGGAACTGAGCGAGACTGAGAATCAAATTATTTACGAATACATAGATTCAAAGCAATAAAAACATTAAATGACGCATAAAGCTTTAACGTTTAGAACAGTACAAACACAAAACACAATAACTTACAAAACACTGCAATAACACTTAATTAAATCTAACATAAACAACACTCACTTAACTCAAACGTAATTACTGAATAGCACTCTTCTTTGAAACACCAACTCTCAATTCTGGACATCTGTCCAAATATTATAATTTATCTAGCACTTCCTTGCACTTATATAAAATATTTCTTGTTTCTCTTAAGACTATTACGGCCTCATCGTTCCATATAAGTGGTGGAACTTTAATAGCTTCCACTGCGAAACAATAACAATCCTGTATATAAAAACATTTTTTAATTGCATGCTTTAAAGTGCCCTTTAGGTGTCCTAGAGTCTATAGTGCAATCATGGTTATGAACATAAGAGTATTATATAATGGATAAAGTATGAAAGGTTACCCTTAAAACATGAATTTTTACTATGTATACCTATCTGAAAAAATGTTATTATTGACTTTTTTTAAGGTGTGTTTTGCAGTGTGCTATTTTGGTGTCCTAGAGTTATGGTATGCCCTCAGGAGTATTTTTCAATAATGGAACTTCAAAAATTAAGCTAAAAACACATATCATGACCATGTTTTGTTTTCCCACGCCGCACAAAGAGATTTTTCTTAAGTATAGTCAAATGTCCACAAAAAGTGCAAAATAAACCACTGTGCAATAGTCAAATTAAACAACTTTAAGGAATTTTTTTTTAAATATTAATAAAATTTTTTTTTTTTAATGTAACTTAACTTTTAATACAAATCGATAGTAAAAAATAATAAAATTAATAACAAGGTATATGTACAACATACATATATACCACGTGTGCGTCAGATTTTTATGTGTATTACACGTCCAGAAAAAGGTACTTCTTAAAGGTAATTTTCGTTTTTATCATATTTATACACAAACATTAGTTTGAAATGTGGTAAATAAACTTATAGTCAAACAACTAAACATTTCTCCGAAAAATCAGCTAATTTATTTTTATTTATTGTATTTTTCTATTTTAACTGGAATAATAAAGAGATATATTTAGCGGATTATTTTTACGTACACGTTATTATATTTTTGTAATTGGTGTTTATTTTAATCGTGTCTCGGAGTTGTATGCAGCTATATTTTTGTTTACTCCGTATATTTCGAACTTTATGTTTATGATATTTATGTTTGTATATCTTTACCGCCAATCTGTGATTGGTTACTTGTAAATACTTTGTAGTTGTAAAATAAACATGTAAAAAAAAAAAAAAAAAAAAAAAAATCAATTTCTGGTAAGTCTTTGCATTGAATGTTTAGGGAAAAAAAAAGTTTGCAATCAGAGCATTTTTTATCAGTAATTATTAAGGCACTCTAACTTGAGTTTCGGAAACTCATTCAACCTCTACCAAAAAACCGTAAGCGCAATATTATCTGGTTTAACCCCCCATATAGTAAAAATGTTTCTACTAAAATTGGTAAAATCTTTTTGGATTTAATTGACAAGCACTTTCCAGTTGGCCATAAATACCACAAGATTTTTAATAGAAATACTCTAAAGGTGAGTTGCAGTTGTATGCCAAGCATTAAATCAATCGTTAACTTTTATAACCGTCATATTATGAAAAACATCCCCCCAGAATCAGATAAAAGTTGCAATTGTATTACTAAAAGCAAGTGCCCTTTAAATCAACAGTGCCTCGTTAATAACATAGTGTATCAAGCCACTCTATATCCAGGCACTCCAGACGGGATTGAAAAAGTGTATTTTGGAGTAAGTGAAACTGCTTTTAAACTTAGATACGCTAATCATACAAAATCTTTTAACTTCTTTTTGAGAACACCTTCTATAAAAGTAATGTCAATATACATTAAACTGATATAACTTTAAATCTACCAAAATTTTAAAGAATTTTTTAAAAATTTTCAGTAAATTTTTGTTGTTGTTATAATAATATTTTTAAATTAACATGAAGATTAAAAATTTCTTTTTTCAAATTTTGATAGATTTTAAGTTATATCAATTCAAAAGATCTTTTAATCACATTTTCACGTTTCACCTACTTTTATGTAAGGTAAATTCACAAATATTTTTTTAATAATAACATTATGCAATTTGATTTCAAATGACCGTCATTTTTTATGGAAGAAAAAAAGAATAATTTACAAACATAGATATTTTCCAATTAAGAAAAGTTGTACTTGGGCGGGTCCGTGCGGCATCAAAACTTATATTTGATTAAAAGAAGAAGAGTTAAATTTTAGCCTTACGTATTCAGATTCTTATAGAAACATACAGAAATTATTAAAAATCACATTTATTTTATTATCAGCTATTATTTCTTAATCTAAAAAGTTATATTTTTTCTGCACTTTTACGGCAAGAAAAAAAATTTCATAAAATATTTTTTATTACACTCTGAAAGCCTTATTAAAATTCTCTTGACAAGAATGTAATTGTTGAAAGTTCACAGCTGTGGTTTGAGAAATGAAGTAGAAGTTTAAAATTTTTTCTTTTTTAATATAAAATATTTCTTCTAAAATTGAAAACTTTAAACAGCTGCAGAGATATGTCAGATAACTTTAAAAAAAGTCATTTGACTTAAAAGATTTTTTTCAAAGTTATTTGACATATCTGCAAATGGACCATGTTTTGATATTCTCAAAATTTGAGAATATGAAAACATAGTCCATTTGCAACAGTCTTGCACAATCAGAACTTTTTATATCAGATTTTCGCAAATCTAGAACTTTTGTTTTTAACAAAATTCCATAAAAAGTAATAAATCTTTTAAAAACAAATATCAAATTTAAATTTATGGTTGTTTACCTAGACTTTTGCTTGCCTTTTTTCCAATGTTACCCATCTGTAAATTTTAACCCAATTTCTGCCAACGATAAAGATAAAAATAGATTTCAAAACTATTCTACCTAGCTTGCACTAATGCACATCTCTTGTCATCAGGTATAACCATAGTAACCATAGTAACTAGGTATAACCCATCTTTTAGTTATAATGTTGCCAAAGCCCAATGTTATATTATGAAATTATGATTAAAAAAAAAAAAATCTTTCTACGAAAAAAGTTTCTAACTTAATAAACTATAAATTTACAATTTCTTAAATTAATATAATTAAATTAATACAAATATTCTGTGTGCAAATTGCAGACACAAATTTAAAAAAAACTGATAAAATTTTAACAACTTTATAACTGATTTTCCTCATTAGATGCATAATTGATTTTCTCATTAGATATACATTCCATGCCTCTTATAGGTACTTCGTTAATTGACATGTTTTCTAAAACAAAATATTAATATTAAATATTTCAGATATTTTATTTTTATGTTTTTTATTATTTTAACTGTTAAAAATGTTTATAAACAATACTCTAGACTCGACTGTTCTGAATCTAACTCTAGGCTTGACTGTTCACTTTTTTTGTGAATTTTTTTAACATGAATAGAAACCTACAGTTAAAAGAACAATTAAACAAAACGAAAATAAAAAGAATAAGCTACTAATAATGAAAAACAAGTTACGAGTAATAAAGAATAAGTTACTAATATTAAATAATAAATTACTAACAAAAAATAATAAGTTACTAAAATAAGCAAGTTAATGTTGAAGTGGAAAAAATAAAAATCAACTTCATAACTGATACGACATGATTTAAATTTATTTGAAAATGAAACAGTAGTACATCTTCTAATGAACACGCTGAGGAGGTGACATAACAGTTAGCAGGAACAATATTTTTGAAAATTGTCTCCTCAATCTTTATTGAATTTTTTAACATAAACGTTGCATTTTACAAATGTTGAAAATTAATACTATGTTTTTTTTTTCTGACTTTTTTCAAAACTATTTTTTTATATTATAAATTATTAAGAGAAAAAAGAGAAAATTTTGCTTTCTAATGCTTTAAAAAATTTTCTTGTTGGAAAATCAGCAAAAACAGATAGGGCCGCCAGGGACCGCCACGCCTCCTGAGACAGCAACTATGATTGGCGCCCTTATTTATCAAAATTTTCCTATATTATAGATAAAGGACCTTTTTATTTTTAAGTACCTTCCTTTCATTTGGATATCTGCCGCCCGGGACAAACTATCCCTTTTGTCCCCTTCCTCCTCTCTCCGCGGCCCTGAACAAAGATCAAAATATGGTAGTCAAATAAGCAAACGCAATTAGAGAGACATTCATTTATCTGATCGCATTAATTTATTTGAATACCGTATTTTGAATATCCAAGAATATGTCCACTAATCTTTAATTGCCCGAAAAGCAATTCAATTTGATATTTGTTAAACTGACGTCAATTAAAAATTGCAGATTTTAAATTTTTTTTATCGAAGGCAAGTAAAAGGTAACTCCAATAGTATCTATATTTTTGTAGTAAAATTATTAAATTTTTGAAAATCTTTTTTACTTCTCAAAATTATGCAGGCCAAAGCTTTAATTGTGTCACATTAAAGCTTAGGCCTGCAGTCTTTCATTAAAGACATTAGCATCATATCAATCTGATGATAAATACTGGGATATTTCAATGTTACTCTGTATTGTATCTTTGTTTATCAAATTATATACAATACAATAGTGGATATTTTAGTATTCTATTGTAAACAACTTTTTAATTCCACTCCTAAAAACTACTTCATGAAAGTCTTAAATTAAAATATATAACCCATTTTTTATGCAAAGTGATGAGAATTTTCTTTTCTAGTCTAGAAGTTGTTTGATTGCAAATTTTAACTTTGCTGACCACTTTTAGTTAACTAACACGTGTAAAAAAAATGTTGATCTTTGCCTGCCACTTTTATCGGTTAAGACGGGTGTTAAAAAACTTTAAACTTTGTTATTACTGTAATAGGTTTTTTTAAATTAATTTAAGTTTTATAGATTAACATCAAAAAACATAAATTTTTAGTAAAATATTTTTGTTATTAAAGATACTTTTAACATGATTACGTTTATTTTAATAGGTTTTAGAATTTAAATATGAAGTATGAAATCATTGAGCATGCCTAATATATTTACTACATAATGTAGACTAAATAGCAAGGGCAGGAGGTGGGAGAGAGGGGGGGGGGGAGAAGAGTCTAATTAAAAGAGTGGGTGGTAATTGGGTGGTAAAGAACAAGAATAAATGGGTGGTAAAGAACATGAATAAACAATTATATTCTAGTGTGTTTTGCGGTCAAATGCGCATTTTTTAACAGCTGTTTCATTAAAATTATAATCGAATTTAATATGCTTGCATAATTTTTATACTATAGTGAGAAATAAACGAAAACCTAAACTTTGTAGTAGTATGACTTAATAAACGAAAACCTAAACTTTGCAAATAGAAATTTACGAGATTTTTTAAAGGACGATCAATTATGAAAGTCTGATAATACTGAGAATTTTTATTTTTTATCATCAACTGATATATATTCTTTCTGATTTTTTTTTTTTTGATATGTTATTTTTCATTGCTGATAACAAGTAAAAATTAATAAATGGGGCTGGGGGCAGGGGGTTTTAATAAGCATGGGGTAGGTGAGAAAAATTGCAGAAAGTTAATACACTATCTATTAACCAACTGAAAATTCACCACCTAAGAGTATTAAAATACTTTAATATTTTACTTATTGTTAAAACATCTAATTTTTTGAACCTGTTTTTGATTTTGCAATTTTATGCAATTTTTTAAAAAAAACAACTGAATAATATTAAACTATAACTGAATTTTTTGATATATCAAAAAAACGTTAAAAACACACATAAAAAAAAAAAGAAAAGAAAGAAGCATTAAATATTTAAAATATTTATTATCAAAAAAGAAACATACCATCTTTAAAGAAATCTTTTAAACCGCACTTTATTAATAACCATATACAGATAGGTCTACCAAGCCTTAAAAGTAAAATTCCCATTGGCAACCATATAAGGATTTCCAAAAACACTATAATGCCATTTAAATTAGTTTGACTTGTTACATATGGGACACTAAGAATCAAACTAATCAAGCTAGCAATGCACATAAAAAGTAAAGTTAAAATATCCCAATAGTTAAAATAAGGTTCTCTGTAAGGCTGATATGTAGCAAAAATTGTCAGAATTATAACAGATGCTGAAGAGAGAAAAATATGTTCAATAATTTCGTTATTAATAATAACAGAAATCATTATCATTATCACTCTACAGACAAAATAAAAAGCCGCAAACATTCGCTGATGTCTGGACTTTATTTTTATTTCTCTTTCCTGTTGGCTTGTATCTTTACCAATTATCTTTGATTTGTTAAAGCAGGATTTTAACGCATCAAAAACAGGGACAATGTATCGGCAATATTTTTTCCCTATATATTTATGACTTCTTATAAACTTGGGATTGAAAATTAAAAACAATAAGAATAACACGATTACAACTAAAAAACACACTGCAAGTAATCCGAAAAATATATGCGGAGGTCGAAAGTATTTAGCAAACGCTGCTTTGTTTACATATAACTCACCATCAATTTCAATAGGGTCAAGAAGTTTAAACGAAACTGTAATAATCTGAAAAAATGTTACAACAATCACAAAGCCCAATGCTTTTCCGCGAGAGATTTTCTGCTTATCACTGCATTCCTCTATCGACAGCTGTTTAAATTTACGGAGACAAAATACTTTCCATATGCAATCAAAATGCAACATAACAGCAGTAAAAATAAACAAAACTGGAGGTACGTAATTCAATGCAAGTTTTGTTAAGTTATCTAGTCCATTATATAAACAAAAACCTGTGTTTTCACCTGTTCCAGTTAATGATGAAAAACCAATTAAAAACAGTGTACCACTGGTAAGCTGTACATTTGCGGGAATAACCAAATCAATAGTTTGGTACCAATAAAAGAAAACATTAAAGTATCCAGAAAAATCTACATCAAAATATAAAAGAGCAACTAACAGTATGAAATAAAATAACAGCAAACCTAAAATAAGTAAAAATACTAAAGTAATTTGCGTCCCATTTGTTGTACAGATTTTACAATCTTCGTTAAGTATAGCCACACTATATCCTTCAGAACATTGACTACAAAGCCTTCCTTGACGATTTTGAGAACATTGCTCTTTTACATCAAACTCGCATAAATATTCTTCGATATTACTATGGCATTTGCAGTAGGATTTTGGACACACTATAGTTTCAAGCAAACTGGTTTTATTACTTACATAACCCCACCTGCCACGTAAAATATACACCGTGCCATTTTCTAGACAACGAACTACATCTCCGAATTCAGCATTCATGCAAACACATTTATTTTCGATTTCGCGAAAACCTGGTAAACATAAATTTAATGAAACATTATACGCAGGTGAAACAACTAGTTGTTCGTTGTTAGTAACCAATGTCACCGAAAACTTTGATTGCGTTTTTCCCAATAGCCTTAGTTTAGAGATTTCATCTCGCACAAGAAAATCATAATTTGGAGGATCTAATGTTACAGATTGGTTTTCGCTAGTTATAATTATTTTTACGGAACCGAAAACACTTTGTCCACGTTCATCGATTTGACGGACATCAGTAGAAAAAGGAAAGTACGGTGAAACGTTCCATTGTTCTTTATCAAAATTTAACTCTACAGGACTAGTTACAATTTCTGGATCTGTGCTTGAACTTTCGTATTTTATAAAAGGCCAAACAAGAGCTGTTGAGTTAATGCGACTCTCGCCGTCGGAACGACAATATTGTAGCGTTGAAGCCCATATGGAGTTTCCAAAATTTGGCGGGGCATAATTTGCTCGAAAAGTTATATTAACAGGCCATTCAAAAGTATCTATACCTTTGTACTGTATAAAACAAGGAGAAGTTTGCATTTCTGTATTTTGAAATGCAACTCGACGTGGACCACCATGTTTGACATATAATGCTCCCCCTCTTCGTAATGCTGAATTGCGAACAAACAATAAATTAGAATATTTTTCTAGTTCTAACCATGACGTTCCATACAAAGCAATTGCACCTCCTTCTGTTCCTGTATTATTTTGAAACACAGAATAACTAGATTTGCCAAAAGTTAGTGATGAGGATTCCAACACAACAGCTGTTCCTTGATTACATGTAAAACTATTGTTGCCAGTAAGCACAAGTAACGCTTCTTTGAAGTAAATACAACCTTGACCAATAACTTTTTCATCTTCTGTTAATTTCATTTGATTCTTATTAAATAAACAATTTTTTATAACAACCCGATATGATACTCCTCTATCGTATATTCTTCTGTTAAAATTTCGTGTATGAAGACCTATTGCAAAACCTACAGTACCAAAATTTTCATCAAAAATGCATTTATAAAAAAAAACGTTTGCTGTCATATCTTCATACTTGTACAAACCTTGTTTTGTACCTTTAATAGAAACTCCACCTCCCCATATAGCTGAGTTTTTATTAAACAAGACGTTTTCTAATTGAATATTATTTTCTGTAGTCGTTATTTTTTGCTTGGATTCCTCATAAACACGAATACCGCCCCCGGCTAAACAGGCTTTATTTGCCTTAAATATACAGCCATTGATAAAGATAGAGTTGTTTTCAGATGCCTCTGCTAAAAATAAAAACATACCTCCTCCCCAAAGAGCAGTGTTATTTATAAATAAACAATCAACAATGTTCAAAAGATTTCCTTTTGCATGTCCTCCTAATACAATGGAAAGACCAGCGCCTCTGGCATATATTTTTTGTTGGACTTTGGTAGACATATCAATTTGTTTTAATCCACTGACCAAGGAATTGTTAGAAAAATTGCATTTTTTAATAAAGTACTTAGTATCTGCATTAATAAAAGAACTTAAACTCGTATAATTGGTAAACTCTACATACACCCCACCGCCCACTGAAATATTTTCTCTTGTGATAAAATTTACATTTGATTCGAAAGATGATTGGTAAATTTGCACAGAACTGCAAACATCAAAAAAAGCAAGAGCCACACCTTCATTTTCTTGAAATATAACATTATCTATAAAAACATCTTTGCATTTAGTAAAACAAATAGCAGTGCTCATAAAAGAATGATAAAAATTTCCTTCTTTTTTGTATTCAATCTTATTATGTTTTACACCACAATTTTTTATTGTAACTCCTCGTATTGTAATGTTCGTTGAAGAAATAAATGTTAAACCAGATGAATTAACGCATTTGAGCAAAGGATTGTCAAAGGATACTATCTCCATGGAAACTAAATCATTTACCCGAATGTCTGTAGAAATTTTATATACTCCTTTTAAAATCTTTAAAGTTGAATGGCTCATATTTTTAATATTTGTAAACACATAGTTTAAGCTTTTGCATGGTTTTTTACCATTTAGGCAAGTAATGTTATCAGTTCCATAAATGCTATCAACCTCAAATAGTAGATTGCATTTAAATCCTGTGATAAAAAATACCAATAGCACATAAGAATACATCTCACCCTGAAAAAAATATTCAAACTTAAAGTTACGTGCAATATTATTATAAGCAGTATTAAAAAGATATTTAATACTTAACTAATATTTATAATAATATTATTAAACAATATTTAATAATTAACTATTAAATATTATAGTTGTTTACTATATTAAAGTAGCTATAATTATTTTAAAAATTTTTTAATAATATAAAACTTTTCATTAAATTATCTTTTTGACTAAAATCAATACAAAAATCACTTTCGTTTTAATAATAAATCCATTGTTCGTTTTTGATCTAAAATCAATGCATATACCTCTTAACTAAAATCAATGCGTATACCTCTTTGCATAAATCAATGCTGACTCCTTTTTGTTAAAATCAAAGCCTACAGACTGTTAACTAAAATATTTGCTTTACAAATATTTTTGCTGATGCTATAAAACAAAAAAATACAGTTGTGGGTTCTTTTTGCATAAATTTTCAAAGAATATTAAAGAAAATTTTAAGATTTCAATAAATCAAAGAAACGTTGATTCTTTTGTGTCCTGGAGTTTCATATTTAAACTCTGAGGCAAGGGAGTAAAATAAATACATTGAACACTGGGAAAACATGAGAACTTTGCCTACTTAAAATAGACCTTACATCCTGCATTATCGCTGAAAAAATAGAAGGCCATTTACTTAAACAGCTGTATGTAAAATGAGGTTAACAAATGTTGTGTTGTTGGATGTCAATCTAATTATTCAGGAAATCAATCGATTCCTGTATTTTCTTTTCCATCAAAAGAAGATGTAAAAAACAGATGAATTTGATTTGTGAACAAAAAAAACTGGCGACCAACTTCCTCATCAGTAGTCTGTGTTAAACATTTTGACAATAAACTTATAAAGAAGGGCAAACAAGATAAAAGATTATAGATACCAAAAAAATCTCTTAAAAAAAGGGTTTTTCCAGAAGATGAGTATAAATTTTTAAATTTTTAATAAATGATTCTTTACTAGGTTTAGAATCAATCCATGAAGCAGACAGTCCACCAGGATATACCTTTTCAAAATATTTAGATTATGTTGTTTTCTATAAACTTGAATTGAACGATGAGTGTGCGCCAGAAGTTATGGAATGTATCAAAATTGATAAAGACTTGCATGTAAAATTGTGTCTTAAAGGTTTTCCTGTATCTTTTCCACATTGGTTCAAGCATGAGAGCAATTGTAAACTTAGTAAGAAAAGCATGTTTGAAAACTTTCCATTGTATCTTAAAGGACAAGAAAATATTTGTTTTTTAGATGAACTTAAAAAACATCAATTAAAAAAAAGTCAATTTTGTTCAACTGATATTATCCAATATGCTTTACTCATACGTTATACTTCACTTTAATCATATAAACTACTTCTTGAACAGTTTACCTTACCTTCACTTTCCTTTTTAAACAAGATAAAAGAAGGTAAAATTGATTAATTGAAAGTTGCAAAATTATTGATGGAAAATAGTTCTTTATCAAAAGATATTATTGTTTTATTTGATGAAATGTATTTGTAATTTTTTGATACTACTTTCAAGTCTGGTGAAATTTCCTGCAAACTGTTGCACAATGTTTATGAAAAGGATGAAAATTTGAATGCAAATTTTAGAAAAGCTCCTAGAATTTGCAACAAAGTTTTACACCCAGGTAAATTCAAACACAATGTTCAGATTGCACTTGACATTTTTCATGAAACTATTATAGATGCTATAAATTCTTTTTTTCCAAATTCCAAGATGCTTCCAAATGATGGCTTTGACTTTATTTTGACTGCTTGTTTACAAAGTGACCCTATTGAATGGTGTTTTCGCCAAAATTACCAAATGAGTGGTGGCCGGTTTCTAGTAAGCTTGAAGGATGTTTTGTATAGTGAAAGAATAATAAAGATTAAAAATTTGGTAAAAGAATCAATTAACATTATAGAAAATGATATCAAAGCTGACAAGACGAAACATTTAAATGAACTTTTAAATAAAACAGATGGTATTAACTATGAAAAAATTATACTCTCTGATAAATCTCTTGAAGTTGCAGTGTATATTGCTGTGTATATTGCAACAATGCACAGTGGTTTATTTTCCACTTTTTGTGGACATTTGACTATGCTTAAGAAAAATCTCTTTGTGCGGCATGGGAAAACAAAATATGGTCATGATATATTTTTTTAGCTTAATTTTTGAAGTTCCATCATTAAATAATACTCCTGAGGGCATACCATAACTCTAGGACACCAAAATAACACACTGCAAAACACCCTAAAAAAAGTTAGTAAAAACATTTTTTCAGATAGGCATACATAGTAAAAATTCATGTTTTAAGGGTAACCTTTCAAGCTTTATCCATTAAAAATACTCTTATGTTCATCACCATGATTGCACTATAGACTCTAGGACACCTAAAGGGCACCTTTAAAGCATGCAAAATGTTTTTATATACAGGATTCTTATATAAAGTCTAAATACATGTTTTTACGTCAGATAAAAAAATATTCCGCTAAAAATATTCACAAAATCATAAAATATATAAAGGACAAAAAAAACACACACTAAAAAACATGACAAAAAGACACTAAAAAGGAAATTTATTTGCTTTTCTAAAATAGTTATATAGTTGCAATATGTTTTTGAAATATTTTTTTACGCTTCATGAATTAAAAAAATCATATAATAACTGTAGGACACCAAAATGTATAATTTAATCAGTTATTGTCTATTAAAATAAAGTTAATATACGATGTTACATGTGTTTTTAATTGCCATACATCTAAAGCGATAAATCTAGGGCCCAATAAAATTTTTAAATAAATGAAATATTTTTTTTATGTCAAATTTTAAAAGTTCAATGATATTGTTGTGGTTTTAAATACCGTAACACAGGGTTGTATATGCTTTAAACAATTGTCTTTAGATCTATTTAAAGTAAAAGAAAAATAGAAATTATACAGAAAACATTGTATATTTTAATAATATTTTTTTTGTTGTGTTATAATAAAACAAATACTAAATTGGTAGGTAAGTAACTACTACATATAAACATTTAATGTTTAAAAATATTTGTTTCAATCAGATTTCAAAGCCCGCACCCTAGACTTATATTGACTGTTCGACGCTGCACTAGAGATATCACAATTTACTTTTTTTCTTTTCTGGGGCGCTTCCAGTGCATTTTTGACTGGTAAAACTTCTGATACTTCTGAGTCTGGACAGTTTCCTTTTCCTGGTGGAACATTTAGTTTTTTTTATGCGCAAATACTATGTTATTTACTTGATGTAATTTTAAAACATTCTGACTGATGTGTGATGATAAATTATCCCCAGTAAGAACTTTTTTCGAGTCTGTTTTTTCAGTAAAGGAAGCAAGTAAGCAGTAAACCACTCCTCAAATGTGACACTATCTAACCATTCGTGTTTTGAGCGATTGTACCTGTTCCATGGGGATCGTTTTCAGTCCACGTTGACCACAGGTTTTCTGATTTGTAGACAACGAAAGGTGGTATTGTACATCAAGCAGCGTTGCCAAAAAACATTACTGAAATATGGGACTTTGATGAGTTCATTACTCTTTCAGGGTATTTACAGCCTCTACGACACATAATTTTTTTGCGGCCTGGGTCATCACTTAAGTTTGTTTCATCATAGTTGTATATATTTTCTGCTAGCACATTTGTAACAACTTGGCTAAGGTTGTTAATAAACTCGCTTAAGGTTTTTTTGTTAACAGCAGCCCGATAACTTTTGCTTTAGCTGCCAACCTCAAAGTGAGCATAGGGTGTCTTTTTAAAAATAATTTACTCCATTCAAGTCATGGAAAATTGTTTCTAAACTGTGAAATAGTTTTGTTTTGGAAAGAGAGATAATCCTTAACAATAAATCTATAATCCAATTCATCAACATGGAATCCAAACTCAGACACTGCCAAGATGTGAGAAATAAAGGAAGATTCTTCCAAAGCATTAAATGTTGTAGAATGTCCTGGTTTTTGATTGTATTTTAGCTTAAGTTTACTTTGAATGGTAATTCTAGATATGCAGAAATGTTTAGATGCTTTTCTCTGACTCATTCGGCCTTCATTAATAGCATTAAGGCACTGTTGGAGTTTTTCTTGAGAATAATCTACATATTTTCTGGAGCCTGGTCTCCTAGAATACATTCTTGGAATTTTTTATAAGCTGAGGTATAAATTAATCAATATATTTTACCAACAACAAAAATACTGTCTACAATATAATAAAAATACACAATACTATTTTTATGAATAGAAAATGCAAAGGAACCTTTTTGAAGTGTAACGAATATTGATTTTTGTAAAGGGACAGTGCAAATAGTAAGTTAAAACTAATTCAAAGCAGAGGCTAAAATAATTCAAAAACAGACAAACAACAGCAAAAAAGTCATTAACATATAATATTATATATATATATTATTAATATATAATATAATATTATATGTTATTTACTTTAACTTTATTACATTTGTTATAATAATAATGATAATAATAAATTAAATAAAGAAATAAATCAATCAACCATCATATCACCAAAATAAATAAACAAATGTATATTAATTTAATATAAATAAAATGATTGGAGATTTGATAAATGATATGAGGTTACTTTAAGTCCGGATTAAAGTAACCCCATTTTTACATAAAAACTAACTTAAATGTGATTAGGTATTTTTTTCTTGAAACTAAATAAAAAAAATAACTAAAAAAGTATTCAAATCTTTTAACTAAGGTGTTAGTCTAGCAAACTCAGAGATTTTTTATCTCTGTAGTGAGTGCTATAATATCAAACCAAACAAAAGTTCTGCCAAGTCAATTTCACAAGCAATTTCAGTTACTTTTTGACTTACATTTCAAAGTTAGATTATTTAGTGAGAGGAAAAGGCAAAATGGTTTTTTAACAGTGTTAGTCGTATATAAATTAACCTATAGAAAAAAAAACCCGCCTTTTTTTGAACGTTTGAACAGGAGAAGCATGAAACTCAAATTTTCT